AACGAAGTGCTGCCGAAATTTTCTGATTTTCTCTTACTTAGTCCTTTCGGCACACTTCGACCCCATGGGGGTAACGAAATGCTGCCAAAATTTTTCAAAAATCAGATAACACACTTATTTACTTATTTATTTATTTATTATTTCTTTATTTATTTTCTGAAATTTCTTTTTCTATTTATTTGCGGCATCTCTAGTGTGCTCACCTTGGCCTCTCCTTTTCCCTTGGCACATTCTTGACCCCGTGGGGGGTAGGGAAATAATGCCGAAAATTTCAAAAATAAATAAATAAATAAATAAATAAATAAATAAATAAAGATTATTTCCCTTCATATCTTTTACTTATTTCTTTAATTATTTTTATTATTTATTTATTTCCTCATTTATTTTTATTTTCTCTCAAAATCTTGCTGTTTATTTATTTTCCTCCCGCCTTCCCCCCTATGCTTGCTATTTTACTTTCTTGATTAGGTCACCGGTACCCTACCCTGACCACTTAAACTTCGGTTAAGGTTTTCTTAGGGTTTTTGTAGGGTTTAGGGTTCTTCAAAACCCCCTTACTTCCCCGTCCTCTTCGGGCACCCTGGACCCGAACCACCCTTCCCCCTTCGACAGCGCCCGTGCTAGCCTTGCTAGCGCCGTTCGCCGCTTCCTACCGCGGACTTCCCCCTACGCTCCCCGCTCACGCGGACCTCTTCTGGCCCCCCTCAGTCCGGTCCGTCATCTCCCCATGGTCGACGGTGTGTCACACGCCGCCGACACGGCGATGACCACGGCATCGGGCTCCACACCCGTGCCGGCGGACCAGGATCATCAGCCCCAGGGGGATCTGCACACCCTCCTCACCTCCCTCCTCGCGCCCATCCAGGCGCAACTCGCGACCCTCGGGCCTTTATAGGCGCAGGTGGCGACCCTTGCCGCCGGCGTGCAGAAACTCCAGGACGATGGTCGTCCTTCCTCTCCTCATCCTCTCTCTTCTCCTGGCTCTCAGTCCGGGTCCCCAGTTCTCCGACAGGGTGGCCACGGCGGAGTTTCCTCCTCTGCCGCCCCCGACCCGGCCATTTTGGTGACCGTCCACGCCCCTAGCTCGACGGCCGCCACGAGTCAGGCCCTTCCTCAGTCTACGGGCGCACCGGCCCAGATTCCGGTTATGACGGTCACGGGACCACTACCCGTTACCGTGGTCTCATCGTTTCTGGGTGCCCCGCTCCTCCCCCCCCTTCGCACGACCGCAGCGCCACCTGGCTCTCCCCCCTCTGGGATGCCCCGCGCCGCTTGTGCATCCACTTCCTCCACTCTTCCCCCTGCTACCCCTCGCACGACCTACGTTCGAGGTCTCGAGGACGAGATTGCCCAGCTCCGGGCCAACCTCGCCCTCTTATGCCTTCAGCCACCCCCACCCTCACAGGTGGCCGCGCCTTCGGGCACACCCCCTACCTCCTCTACCCTTCCTCCCACGCAGGTTCGCTTTCCGCGCCCTGCACCCTATACAACTCCTTCCTACCTTCTTCCTACTCCCGCGGTTGCTGCGACCTCTTCTACCGCAGCACCCTCGCAGCCTGCCGTTGTTGCCACCGCCGCTCCCCCATGCGGCCCGGGCGCACAGTCAGCTGCGCCCCTTTCTCCAGGACCTGCGCCGACTTACTCAGTCGTGGCACAGGCCTCCGCTCCTCGATCCCCTCGCCGCCAAAACGGTGGCGCACCACTCATCCGCTTGTCGGACATTGCCTTGTATGACGGTACAGGCATACGCGTGTCTCGGTGGCTGCAGCCTACCACCCGCACACTCCAGCTCATGGGCGCCACACCCGAGACGTGGGTGGGCCACCTCTCCACGTGCCTGCGTGGCGGTTCTTTCGAGGCCTGGGAGGATTTCTATGCCTACTCCCTTCGTGAGGGTCGGACTCCGACCTTCGTGGATTTCCAGGCATTCCTCGAGGATCGCTTCGGAGCCCGATACGACGTGACTGACGCCTTCGAGCGTGTCGTCACTACACGCTGGTCCGGCTCTGGTGGTGCTGCCGGCCTGGATCGCCACATCCAGGTCTTTCAAGACGCCCGCCTCGTTTGCGACGTGGCGTTCCTCCCCGAGGCTGCCCTTATCGATCGTTTCTTGGCCAGCCTTCCACTCGAGTACCGCTCCGAGCTATGGCGGTATGAGTTCACATCGGCCCCACAGGCTTACGAGGCCGCCAGGGATCACCAGCGGATGCGAGCCCGTCTTCACCCCGCCTCCTCCTCCCAGCCCCAGCGCACGGGCTACGCCTCCTCCTCCTCTCACAGCACTTCCCTGCGCCGTTCCCCTTTCCGCGGTCGCCCCCGCCGTTCCATGCAGCAGGGCCGCCACTTCTCGTGCCGCTTCAGCGCGCTGGAGTATGTGAGAAGGACGCTGTTGCCCCACTGTCACCTGAGGGCGACCACAGCGACGACCTCGATCTCTGCGAGGCCGTCCACTATCACTTGGAGGACTCTACCCTCCCTGCAGCTGAGCGCCTTCAGCTCGCGCTCTCCGCCCTCTCTCGGGCACGCAGCCGCCCCGGTCACGCTGGCGCGTCGCCCCCCGAGGTCCCTCAGGAGGACCTCCCTCATGGCTTCGTCCCTCCTCGCGGTGTCCTTTCCGCTGAGGAGCGCGCGRCTATTCTGGGCCGACGTGGGTGTTTGCGCTGCCGCTTGGACGGTCATACCTCCTCGCGGTGCCCTTACACTACCGCCCTCGACTGCCACTACGCTGACCTTTCTCGTCAGCGTCGTGCTCAGACCCCCCCTGGCGCCTGACGTCCCCGCGGCGCCGCCTAGCCACGGTGCAGTGTACACCTGCGCCCCCCTCTGTAGTGGGTTTCCCGATATCTCCGTCGCGGTTCGCCCCTCTCGCTACTGGAGTTGAGGTATCGCAGGACTCGACAGAGTGTACTCATCCCTCTGTCGCAGTACCGTCTGCGCCTCCGCAGACCACCGTCTCCCCTCCTTCCCCGCCGCGACTACCCACGCGTCGAGCCATTCGCTCAGCCCGTTGCAGCGAGCAGCTTGCTACTCGCGAGGACGTTGTGTCCTCTCTTCTGGACTTGAGCATGCTCCAGGCTCGTCAGGAGCGACTCACCCTCCACGTCGCTGTACTGCGTCGCCTTCTCGCCATCCTCTCTGACCCTGATCGCACCCTCCCGATCATCCCCGTACGACTCAGGACCTCCACGAGGGTGTACTCAGCGCTGTGGGATTCCGGTTCTCAAGGCGACTTCATTCACCCACACGTGGTGAAGGAAGCCCGCTTACCCACGATAGGGTCTCCGGCTCCCATCTCCGTAGGGGATGACAAGACCCAGCGCTTCTTCGATCAGACGGTCACCGACCTCCCCTTCTTCCTCACTCTCGAGCCGACTGATCGTTCCCCGGTGTCTCGTCGCCACCGCTCCTCTGCACATTTCGATGTGATAAAGACGGGGTACGACTTCATTCTCGGCACTCCGTGGTCTCGTTGGTTCCGCAGCACCGAGGCCGATTGGGCGACCAACACTCTCGTTCTCAAAATGAAGTGTGGAAAGACGTATCGCGTACCTTTTATAGGTACCACGGCGACACCACGCCCCGATCCTCCTCCCCCGGAGCCTTCAGTGCCTACACCATCTCCCTCTATCACTGTCACCTCGCCTCGGCAGTTCGCTCACTTCATTCGATAGGACGACGTCACCTTCTTTATGGTGGACGTGACGGATCTCTCACACTATGATCCACCCTGTCCCGGCGCTGAGCTCATCCCTCTGGAGCCGGATCCTCCCTCTATCTCCATGGCTCCCATCTCTACTTTCGTCCCTCCACCGTCCGTCGAGTCCACCCCGCCGTCGCACGCTGACGCTGACGCTGAGGAACTCGCACGATATACGGCTGACTTGGAGCCCGCAGTTCGTGACCTCATCCGAGAGTA